GTTGCCATGCCAGCCGAATCCGATGTTGTGCTTGATCCGAAAGGATTCCTACTTCCACCACGACTGAAATCAAGCAGAATCAGCCTCCGACAACGGCCGTGCTCGGCCGTTAGTACACGTGCAAAACAGCGCTCTCTTTGGCAATGGCCTGGCTGAGCAAGACGAACTTGGGGGTGGGGCCAGGACACATTACGGGGTCATCCACAACAGTACCTGGCTCAGAGCTTCTGATGTTCTCCCTGTCACCCTTGAGAATCAGCATGTCAGTCTTCCTGGCGATGCCGATAACCACAATTTTGGGTGCGTATCCTTTCTGGAATTTGGCAGCTGCATTCACTACTTGCACTAGCGCTCGCATCTCTATGGCATCAACCACGGGCCATTCCTCCTGGTTCGCCGCATCGGTACACAACCCGGGGTTGCGGCAGGCTGCCGTTGTTGCAGTCTGTAAAAGCATTGAGCGCATCACGGAAGCGGCGCTGCAGTTCAACTGACAAGCTGGTCCTCCACCGCTGCACGGATCCCTTCTCCAACTCGGCTGCCATGGAGTAGTACTGCGAGAATACCTTGTCTTAAGTCGCAGAGGTTCCGAGCCAACGGGCCCCTTCGAAGGTGAGGTAGACATTAATGCCAAAGATCATGAAAGGACGCTTCTTAGCAATTCGCAAAGGCACCATCCTCTGAATCCTTGGGGATGATTTGCCACAAGGGTCCACCAAACTTCACGTTGATCTGCTGGACCACCTTGTGGAGGATGGAGCCGATGGAATGGCGCTTGCGGATCCTCTCGCTGCGAACGACCTGCCAGATGCAGGGATGCTGCTCGCATGCCAGGTACTTGAAGGAATGGTACACCTTCCCCACGTCCTTGTTCGGGCTTACAGCCGAATGCAATCCTCGCAACATCTCGCAGAGACTGCAACCAAATCTCGTATACTAAGTTCAATACTGGCTCATCCGTCTGTCGATACAACAGTAGCCACCGATCGATTGTGACAGGACACTGAACGCCGTTCCGCAAATGACCGAGCAAAGCTACCTTCCCCGACAGCATAGATCTTCTTCTCATTGAAACCCAGCTGCAAAGTCTCTTGCTGCTTTTCTTCCAACTCCAGATTCCTTGTGGGTGGTCCCAACTGACAGCCCCAGGCCTTCAGCGCTTCAGGCAATTCATTCTCCATTTCCGTGCCATGCGTGATGATGACATTGTGCCTTTCCTGAGGGGAGACGTTGATCTGCTTCAATTTATCTGCTTCAAGACCTCACTTAGTGGAATCTTCTCCTGGCGCATCTCGTCCGTCACACAGACACGACAACGAAACTCGGTCAGCAAGAGTATCTATCTTGTCCTCGGCCTTTTGTGGATAAGCTTCCAAGAGTGGCTGGGCCTTGAAGGCTACAGACTTCTCGTAGAAGGTTTCCAAATACTTCGCATACATACAGAATCGCAGCCATTCGGCCCTGATTTCCGGAGATGGCTGAAAGATGGCACCTTTCAAGACTTCCACAATGTTCTTGGCACTGCCCTCGTTGTGCAAGACATCCAGTTCCAGCAAGGGCCCAGCACTACCCAGCCTATATTATCCACCGTAGGACCCCGAGCCTGAGGAGGGGGTGGCAAGGCCAGCAGGGTCTCCGCACGCTGCGGCGGTGGTGTTCGCGTAGAGAAAGGCCCCAGCTGTGGTGGAGGCGGCGGAGGTGGTGCAGGCCAACCTAGTTCATGGTTTGGGATAAAAACTTATAAAAAAACACTAAACTTCTATATTCCTGATTGAGCTTAAGTATCCGTAAAAAAAACCATGTAAAATTGCTACCCAACTATGACAATGCCACTTGGAGGTGGCGGCAGAGGAGCTGCTTGCGCCCACGGCTGACTTGGAGGCGGTGGGGGTGCTTGGGCTGCCTTCGCCCAGGGCTCCTGGCTGGGACCGCGCTTCGGCTGGTACCAGGCGATGTACTCCTTCCTTGGTTGTAGTCTTGGGGCCCCTGCGAAGTACTTATGAATAAGTAGCTCTATAGGAACCATGATGAAATTTTCCAGTTTCCCAAAGTGCCACCTAGCTTCGCTCTTGCCACCTCGCGCCCACAGATCTTGACGTGGTCGTCGTGGATGATGACGGCCACCTGGAAGGTGCGCTCGACGTGAACTCCTGATGTCTGCCAGGGACGGTATGAAGTATACCGCTTTCAACACTAGCCGTCACTAGCCGCACCGGCCTGCACACCCCATCTCTCATTCACACAAAATGCGCTGATTACGCTGTGGTGGCCCTTGACCTGTCGGCAGTCGTTCTTGTGAAAGCGCTGGTGCTTGCCAACCCTCGGTATTCGGCGTTGCCCCGCTAGCTGGTCAGCAATGTACTGCCCTACCACAGAAGCCGGGCCCATTTGCCCATCTTGGATCTTCTGGCAAACATCCAGTTGCACGAGCCATGCCGTTCTCGTCGCGTACCTTCACCGGAAAGTTCCCCACCTGAGTGGGAGAAAAGATGCGGCCAGGTAGCCAAATCACGAAATGAACGAAACGTTTCTTCATGTCGGCCCATCCCCTCTCAAGCAGCTTCCGCTCATAATCTGCGGAGGTCTGTGGATCAGGAAGACCATGCTCCTACTGGATGCTGCTGGTCCAGTTCATCCGAAAGAGATTGACCCTCACTGGGAAGCGGGATTCCTTCCGCTAGTTGTTGGGTATCTCTCGTGCAGCTGTGATGCCATCTTGTTGTACGGGAAACCATTCGTCCTGGTACATTTACCACTCTGCAGCCGCAGAGATTCCGAAATCTACTGCCAGGCTGTATGATAGGGCTGCCAACGGCTCGCAGAATGTTCGTAGGCCCTTGTATCTGAGACCCATAATAGGGGGAGAGGGGGGCGCAGAACGAACAGCGCACAACCATTTTTTTGGTGGATGCTTGCGGTCCAGCTCTTCCGAAATATATTCACCCTCACTGGGAAGGTCTTCTCGTCATTGCTGTCGGTAGCATCTCTTTTGCAGCTGTGATGCCATCTTGTTGTACCCCGGAAACCATTTGTCCTGGTGCATTGCCCCTCTGCGGCTACAGAGACTGCGAAAACTCGTGCCTGGCTGCAAAGCATGCCGCTGCTAACCAAGGCAATGAGCCGACCGGCTCACCGTGGCATTGAAACAGGCGCTCATTTGCAGGGAGCCCCAAGCCCCTGAGGATTTGCCATGGCACAACCTCTCTAGCAGGAGACACCGGACTGGAGCAACCGAACTGTGCATCGAGATATCGAGGTCTGGCGAGTGACACTTGCAACGATGTCTGTCACCATAGCAGTCGACTGCTCCCCTTCATGTCTACCCTCAAGTGCATCGCGCAGAAGAGGCTCAAACCCGGCATGCGCCAGTAAGCCAATGGCCTGTTTTGTTTTCACGCGTCACGTCCTTACTGCGAGCGAGAGAGCCTGTGTAAGAGTTGCATTCGCGGCGGCATGCTGTAGCTAAGAATCACACCGCACAAAGACAGAGACAAACTCTGATTTCGGGCGATAAGCTCGCGCCCAGGGATCCCACGGAAGGCAACACAAGAACATGAAGCAAACTGCCGGGTTCGAGAACATGCCACAGAATACTGCTGATCTCTATGACGACAGTGCTGAAGCTGAGAGCTGTGCTGGTCTCGCACCAGCAAAGCCCAAGCCTTCTGGGAAGCAGCTTGCACTGCCCTTGGGAAAAACGAATGGCACCTGCGCCGGTGCACAACACCAGCGATAGGACTATGGAAAGGCATCACGAGGGCAGGGGCCACTATCCAGCAACAGTGGCGGTCCCCTGTCACGCACGGCCTGCACAACATGCCCGCACAAATTGAAAAAAGTGGGTCCAAGGGGAACAGCTTCCTCGAGTGAGCAATCACAACCCTGCAGTGTAGCCTAGACTACAACCAAAGCGGAGCGACAGCCGGTCGTGCATGTATGTTCCGTACCGTCCCCCAGCCAAAGTCTACGAAGCTGCTAGTTATTCTAGCTGAGCCTCGTGCGCGGGCTCAGCTTGACTGTTCAGCGAAAGGCATTCAGCGAGCATGGCTGAGAATTGCCACGATTTCTTGCAACAAGAAGGCCAGGCTCGCTGCAGCCCCGAGGAAACTGCGTGTGATGATTCGGGCTTGTGCAGGCCACATGCACAGCTACTCGTGATGTCATCCTGAATTTGGCAAAAACCAAAAGAGCCATTTCCGCTGTGGCTGCGGCCGGTACGACGGGCCACATAACTATGTTCTACAAGCGGATCCGGCCATGCAAAGCAATAGGCATCCACATGCAACTCGTTGCTGCGAGGGAGACTGCAGCAAACCAGAGGGGCTAGGACGAGAACAGATTTTTCAATCGAGTCTATCAGCGCCCAGCAAGATTTGTCCTGGGCGGTGGCAGTGTTAGCAATGGCCGTGTGTATGAAGCCATATAGCCAGACTATGAGTATTCACATGGGGATACTTACGCATATGCAGATACGTGTACGTATGCCTACACCCATTTTTGCACATGCACATGCACATTCTTGCACACGCACCACCTTCGCGTAGGCATGCGGTTATGCAAACATACATACATTGGCACACACCGATACATTATACGTTGATACATACATACATACATACATACATACATACGTACGTACGTACATACAGACAGACAGACAGACAGACAGAGACAAACACACCGATACACATACATGCATGCATGCATGAATTACATGCATGCATGCATGCATACATACATAGCTGCGCATATGCAAACGTACATTGCATTGCATCACAGCACACTCCGTTACGCTACTTTGCATGCATTGCATACACACGTACGTTTAGAAACATAGGTTGTTGCGCGCCTGGCAGCGCAGATTGCATAGACAGAAAGCTCCCATCCCGTAAAGAAGAATCTGTTCACATGACGATTCAAGCTTGTTCGTGTAGAGCCTTACGTTGGAATCGTATCATGCCATTTACAGACATGTGCCTACCAACCACAACCATCATGATCACGAATTACTGGACACTTGTGACGATCGTGTCTGGCGGCAGCATTGAAGCCTCACATGCTTTGGAAGCAGCTCTCATACCCAAATCCACTGGAGGAAAAATGGTTGAAGGTGTACAATAGATCTACGTCTTAGTTGGTGGCACTCTTGTCTTAGGCCCGTGGGCCCGGACTAGCTCCTTCTGCAACTGCACTCTTGCATGGTGGATGCCCTCAGCGACCTCTCAGCGCAGCGCACGGCACCGCCAGGCCTCGAGCAGATGCCATATCTGCGATGAGATCAGACAGAGGTAGTACTGTTCCACCATTCGCGGGAAGCGCTACACGGCATCATGGAAGACTCCAGCCCTTTCAGGTCTGTTGAGGCATGGACGGGCAAAATTGATGTGCAAAACTGTCGATCCGATCTTGTGCGGGGAAGTGCAAACACGAAAAGTCACAAAAAAAAAACTGAAGATCCGCAACGAGCCTGCCGGATGTCGCAATTCACACCTCAAGGATCCTGGGCTGACGATGCGCCGAATAAATCAAACAATCCATGCCGTCTTCCTAAAGTTGAGTACGGTGATGTTTCCGACCCGATCTGAGAAACCCAGGATGCTCTGAACCGTTGTGGTCCTCTCAATCGAACAAGACCCTTCGATGCGAAGGTTGTCCACCGCACAAGGTCGATACGCCATCTATCCCGCCACATGTCAGTCAGGACCAGTAGCAATGATTGCGACAGTCATCGCTAGTTGTCCTGCTGCGACAAGCTACCACTGCATTGAAACTCTGAATCCTCAAAGCCATTTTTGACGCGGTGCACGGGGGAAGCCCATCTCTTCCAGCCACTCCTAGCTCCGCTTGGTCGATCACGGGGTTGATGACACAGGATCAGGGTCCGTGTTTGGATACCCCGGGTCATGGTGCAAGGCATTGCAAAGCGATCTCTCTTTCTGGATCTGGTGTCGTGTGGGGTCACGCGCTTCTTACCTGTGTCCTCAACATACTTTGCCGGGAACTTCGAAAGCATGCTGGTGGGTGTCGGCACGATGTCGCCCATACCTGCACTTGTTGGGGCTGCGGTGGCTGATGCGGTTCAAGGCTGCTCAAAAGGGATCAAATGCTATGTGTGATGACAGTAGCGAGAGCAGAGCGTAAACATCAAGCACAGGACACTTTCAGAAATCAGGTGGACTTGACACGCAGAGAAGCTACCCTGAGCGAGAGCTTCCTGGCTCACAGGTGCTGCCAGCCCAAAGAAAAATTGCATCAAGCTAGTTTGCTTCGTCGCTGGTAGTAGTCTCCGAACCTCTATAAAAGTAAGCATGCATGTCAATGCCCTTACAAAGTCCGCGCAGCGGAGTTTAGTGTAGGCTTCTGGCAAGTCAAGTTCTGACCACAAACTCTGGCAGTCCCCGAGTGGCAATCTTGCGTCAGACCACCATGCCAGACAGGGCACTTCTGAGCAAGACATCGGAGATTTCGTCCGTCGCCTTGGCCAGCTTTCATCTCAAGTAGGTGTCGGACGCTCGGAGATGCGTAATTGGACATTCGGTCATAGCTCATGAGCACATGTACCTCCAACCTTACGACACCTTCACCTCCGTCTACGGCTCTCAGGATCAGAATAACGTCCCTGCCTCCGAGGTGATTCCACGCTTGGAGTCCCGCATAGCCAGGCCCATCACCTCCCCCAAAAACAATCACAGGATCTCAAGTGGTTGACATGCTCGCAGCACAGCAGCTGTCGCGATACCCAACGACACTGACACAAAGATGGAGGGCAAGCATCCGCACATGAACCGAGTGAAGGACGATTCATTTTCCCCCTTCCTGGCAGCATGCGGTAACCTGTACCTTCAGCACCCAAACTGCAACTGAAATGAATCACTAGCCGCTATCCCGTGAATTGGATGTGGTGCCAAGCTGAGAAATCAATCCAGCTGTGACTGTCACTGGAAGACTTTTGCCCAGTACGTGTGTCGTCTGATATCCACCGCAACCCCGTCCGGACCGTCTGCACGCTAGGGCGTGGTTCGGGCAGCGGCCATCGCTTGAGCAGTAGCCTTCGAGAGCAGCAACGGTTATAGTGACGGCTACCATAGTGAATGACGACGAAGCTGACAATGAAGATGAAGACGAAGATGATAATGAAGATGAGGCAGAAATTTAACAGGCCATGAAGCGACACGGTAGTGGCAATGACGGTGACGATGCCGACTGCTATGGCTGCTGTGGCTGTTGCTACTATCATTGTCGTCATCACTGGCATGATCACCACAATGACACCGATCACGGCCTCACTGTCACTCTCACTTCCATTATCACTACCGTTCTCACTACCATGATCACTACTACTACTACTACTACTACTACTACCACCACTGCCACTACCACTACCACTGCTACTGCTACCCCGGCAACCACTACTACTTCTAGCAGTAGTAATAAAAGTAGTAGTAGCAGCAG